TGATATACTTAATACCATTTTGCTCCTTGCTGAGTTCAACTCATTATATTGATATTTGCTGTACTTTTCTTTTAATTATTATAAATGTTGCTGCTTCTTTTTCCTTTCCAGTTGTCTATAATAATTTGCAAAGAAAATACAATTAAAAAAATAATCTTACATTATCTATAAAGGCAGCAAAGTCACAATCCTTTTAATCTCTGTGCGCATTCTGGTACTTTAGCATGGATTAGTGGCACAGACAAAGTATAAAATGTTTCACTATGGAATCTGGAAATTACTGTGCTTTTTTTCAGATAACCATTTATGATACATAACATGCTCGATATTCCACAAAATCCTTAAGTACTCTTTGAAATAGAGAATATATTTCTGTAACTCTTCCTTGGAGTATTTCTTCAACGAACCCTTCAGAACACAAAGTCCTTAGAAAGATATGAGTCCTCAGCTATACTAATCAACAGATGGACCTAACAGGAACTACTCAAGAATAAGCCAGCCTGGTGCAATAATTATCCTTGGGCAGGGTCAAAAGCTTCTAGTGTTTAGGGAATAATCTGGGTTCTGTCACAAAGTTGGTTCAGGAAGATTTCCTTTAATATCACTCTTAAGATTTCAGAATGGACCTTAGAGTTTTATCTAACATGTTTCTTGTTTCTTTTATTTCTTTTTTCCTCACTATCCACCAGTGCATTAAGTCTGTGTAAGCATGTAGGAAAGTGAAGCTGAATTTATGGCCCCAAGTTAAGCCTGACAGATTTATTACAACCTTAACCCAGATAAGAGCTGATGTTTGTGAAGCCAAGACAGTATCTATAAAGTCGGGTCTTCATGGAGTTTACTTAATAAGATCTGTCTATTTCTTTTTTTTAACAGTTTATTTATATATTTTTCCTTAACATACATAAGTGCTTTATGAACAGCATATTTTCTGGGACAATTTGCTTACATAATAGTATACAATATAATAAATATTAAACATAAGACATACATTATAATAGTTTTCCAATTTCTGATTTCTACTTCTATCGATCAACCATTGATAAAATAAGTCCCATGTTTGAAAATAGTCTATATCTTTTTTATCTTTGATCTTTAATGTCAACCTATCCATTTCTGCANGAGAGAGAGAGAGAGAGAGAGAGAGAGAGAGATGTAGTCAAATGGCAAAACATAAGCAAGGAACATGTTTATATATATAAGTATTTTGTAAATGACCTTGTAAAATTGCACACAGTAAGCATGAGAAACAGAAATACAAATATACAAAATTAAGAACATAAATTGATACAGATGGAAGACTGTGATGACCAGTTAGCCCCAGGATTTTCAAGACTGGCTGGAAAAAAGCAGAGAAGCTAAAGTTGGTTTTCATTGGCTCCAGTCCATCTCTGCTTTTAATTCTTCGGCATTTCCAACTAGGCCTTCTTGGCTCCCTTTTTTCTTAGGATTGGCTCCTTCAGAGTAGCTTTCCAAGTGTTGGGTCATCATGAGCAGCAGAGAAAACCCTCTGCACCTTCCAGTGTTTTACAAATAATGTAAAGGAAAAGTCTATGAAAGCTTTTCCTGCTGTCAATTCTCCTAATAAAAAGCTTTTTCAAGAAATCAAAATAAATATTTAAATGTAAATATAGCAATTTTACTCTTAATCAAAATATAATACTATGAAATGCATAATATGACAAGTACAAGACAAGTAATATACTTGTCTTCAGTTATGGCAATTATAGTTACAGGGTTACCAAACCATGTTACATCCTAGTATGAAGTAGAGAAAAGTCAGTAAGGTATATAAACGTCAAACAAAGGATAAAAAGTTCAGACATCAATTCAGTTCAAGCATAACCACATGAAGAAAATGGTGGACATGGAGGGTGTATTTTTTTTTTAATGCATAGCTCTCCAAGAGTTCTGCTTGGTTCCACTAGTTTTAGAAAGTAGACTATAAGAGCCTCTTCCACCCTCTTATGTCTAGCACACAATGAAGTTTGAACCAAACTAATGTGCTTATTTGTGTGGTTTAAATCATTTTTTTCTGATTTTCATCTGTTTAAATCTGTTGGAAAACATTGTTCATTTGCGAAAGATATAATCTTAAAAATGTTCATTATGACATTGTACAGTGGTGGGATTCAAAAATGTTTACTACCAGTTCTGTGGGCATGGCTTGGTGGGTGTGCGGTGCATTGGTGGGCATGGCAGGGGAAGGGGACTGTAAAATCTCCATTCCCACCTCACTCCAGGGGAAGGAGACTGTAAAATCCCCATTTTCTCCCTATCAACTGGGACTCAGGTGGCAGAGAATAGATGGAGGTGGGCCAGTCAGAGGTGGTATTTGCCAGTTCTCCGAACTACTCAAAATTTCTGCTACCTGTTCTCCAGAACTGGTCAGAACCTGCTGAATACCACTTCTGCATTTTTATGGGGTGGGGGTGGGGAGAATGGGATTGAGTTTATTTTGCTCTATTCCGTTTAATGTTTTGCAGTACAAGATAACAGTGTGGAAGAAGTAATGGACAGATTGTTGTCTGTCAAGCAACACCGCAAGAAAAGAGATTTAGGTTCCAGAAGAGCAGCTAAGAAGGTGAACGAGAGCACTCAGACCAATGAAGATTTGGGGCAATTTCCAAACATCACCCAGAGCTCTCCTCCAAGAACTTGCTCTTCCAACAATCCACTTAATGGAGAGCCACAGAATGTGTCTAAGGTTGCATCCTCCTGCTTTTTGGTCAGTTCATCTTCACCAGAATGGAATCTGTCTTCAGCTGCTCCGGTGCCGCCACCTCCTCCTCCTCCTCCACCTCCTCTCCCCGGAACATTAGACATGTTGCCACAACAGCCGTCTCCTCTATCTGGGATACAAATGCCAGCATCAGTTCCCACGTTGCATGATGTAGTAACAATCCCACCCCCTCCTCCTCTGCCTGGGATGACCAGCATTCTTCCCCCTCCCCCACTGCCCAGTATGACAGGGATACCTTCACCTCCACCTCTTCCCACTATGATAGGGGCCCATTCCCTACCTCAAAACTCAGCCATGCCACCACCACCTCCCCCACTGCCAGGTGCGGTAGGGATCCCACCACCTCCCCCACTGCCAGGTGCGGTAGGGATCCCTCCCCCTCCTCCACTGCCTGGCATGGTAGGGATCCCTCCCCCTCCCCCACTGCCTGGCATGGTAGGGATCCCTCCCCCTCCCCCACTGCCTGGCATGGTAGGGATCCCTCCCCCTCTTCCTGGTGCTGCAGGAGTTCCACCTCCACCCCCACCACTCCCAGGCATGCCACCTCCTCCTCCCCCACTGCCTGGGATGGAAGGGCTACCACCCCCTCCCCCACTGCCAGGCATCCCACCTCCTCCACCTCTGGGATTCAACGTAGAGGAAATTGTCCCTGCGTGGGCCAGCAGTCTTGGCTCTGCTGCACCACCCCCTAAAAGAAGGAAGATGCCAACGCTAAGGATGAAGAAACTGAATTGGCAGAAGCTCCCCTCCAATGTGGTGAGAGGTAAGAACTTCTGAAGTGCTACATCCTTACTCAGACCCTTCCAGTGAGGCTTCAAAGGAAAGTTCTTGAATCTGTTCCAGCAGGTTCTTTTCCTTCGCAGTTGAGTCTGTCCCTGTGCTAGGTGCTGCGTCTGATGTAATTGAAGCAGGGAAAGGAGCTTTTTCTTAGTGGTACCAATAATGTAAGCCAAGCTTTTACATTCATGTTCCCTCTCGTGGACACTTTTTCGAATGAGACAAAAACAGAATTTGAATATTTTAATGTATATTGTAAATGACATATTGAACACTCTTTTTGAAAGGGAGAAATGTATCAGTACAGGAAGGCTGGGAGGAACGTTGTCCATGGGGTTGCAATGGGTCGGACATGACTTTGCAACTAACAACCACAACAGGCCATGACATAAACTTATAAACTTATCAGTGTTCGATGAATGGTTCTCTTTAAGCTGAAGCACTGTCATTTAAAATAAAATAAAAATCCCTATAGGTGTCGTCTACAAGTAAAAAATGCAGGAAAGAATTTTTCTGGCTTTGGAGAGGCATTATTGTTCAGTATATTATCAAGAGTACATAGTGTGTTTGCAATGAATAGACTTTCTTTCTGAGAGTTGCTCACATATTCAGGGAAGTTACATTTCAGTTCTTGCCATTCCCAAAGAGTGTGTGTGTGGTGTGTGTGTGTGTGTGTGTATGTAATGAACATAGGGCTCAGCCAGAACCATAGAGGGCTGAGCCAATCATTACACTGAATTTTTATTATTGTAACCCTAGTAATAATCCTATAAACTAAGGAATGTTTGTTTATTTAATTTGTTTATTTAATTTGTTTATTTAATTTGTATGCCGCCCCACTCCCGAGGGACTCAGGGCGGCTAACAACCAAAAGGGAGGGAGGGGATACAAATCAGATACTGGGGTTAAAGGCAGCACATGGGGAAAAGTCAAGAGAAAGGTGTTCTTCCTTGTTCTGTTTAAGCAAGTGTTCTTCCCCTTTTCTATCAAAAATCTATGTCAACTAAATAATTAACAATTTTAATCCTAGGATATATTTCTGTGCATGCAATTTTGCTATGCATTTTCCGTGTGTGTGTGTATATATATATGTAGAGGTAGTCCTCAACTTACAATAGTTTGTTTAGTGACTGAAGTTAGAGCAAAAAAGTATCCTTTCCAAGGCATAGATGTGGACAGTGAGATTTTGAGATGTAACTCACCATCCTGCCTTGTGTCTTTCAGAGAGTCACTCTATGTGGGCATCAACAACAAGAACGAGTGAAGAATATATTGAGCCAGATTACTCTAAAATAGAACAGTTGTTTTGCTTTCCACAAACCAAGCCCAAATCAAAGGAAGTTGCACCAGTGAAGACAGAACCAAAAGAGGTATGTTTATAATCTACTTGAACTAACCCTATTCATTTGGATGATTGGTTGAACCATCCGAGAGTTCCCATATATCAGACGTTGAGCTTGCTACAGAAAAACATCCTGTTACCCAACTAAGCAAGGAAGCTTTTGAAATTAGAAGGAACATGGGGTTTCTTCATGTTAGTTTGAGGATTGCACATGTTTTAAAAATGATTTGCCAGGAATATTTCAGATATTATGTAAGTATGGGACAACATGTCACTACTCTTGAATAAAGCTTATACCGTGTACATCTTTTTATTTTTATTATTTTTATTTGTGAACATGAAAGCCTGTAAAATGATGTGACCATGCTAAATTGCTCCAATACAGCAATTTTAATTAGTTCATTATTTAGGGCAAATGCAGGTTATTCATTACTAATATTCCCAAAACAGGATTCTTAATAGAATTCAGAGTGAAGTGATGGACAGCAAGGAGAAAGCAGAACTGCTTAATTCCTTCTTTGCATCTTCTTTATGCAAAAGGAAAAAATAGCCCAACCTATCAAAAGCAGCATTGTCAGGGAAAGAACAGGTTTGCGGGTCAAAATGGACAAGGAATTGTTAATAGATTTGGCAAAGTCCATTTATAATGCCATAAGTCTTCTTATTTTACAAATTTCTATAAAAATAAGACTAAGAATAACTGGCAAGTGGTTTTAATTTATACTTTGTAACAAATTTATAAAACTGACCAAAAATGTTTCAATTTTCCAAAACAGATTACATTTCTAGATTCCAAAAAGAGTCTTAATCTGAACATATTTTTGAAGCAATTTAAGTGGTAAGTGGTATTTTTATATTGATAAAATAATGCTAACATTAAAAATAATATTTGTAATAATTAACATTGCCATCTTGTGCTTGTTTTATCTAATTATTATACGTCTACACATCTATTCTCTTAAACTGCACTGAAACACTGAATTACAACAGAGCTTATCATACATTTTAGAATCTTTAGAATTTAGAATACACATGAAACTTCTCCAAGTAGCCCTCTTGCTTTAATGAAGTTTCTTTTTGCATTGAGGCAAAGAGCAAAATTATTTCTATACTCTGGGACCTGCTATCAGGAGGTATCGTCTCAAATCTGATATATTTTTGCCATATGTACTTGGGATAGATGCTACCTGTTGTCATAACATAATAGCCTAAAACTAGACCTGGGTAGCTTTTTTGCCTGAACCTAAAGATCTGTCTCCTCATGGATCATTTAATCTACCTAGCATCCACATTCATTGATAGCCAAACTCAGAATATACCTGCCATGACTAATTATTACTAATTGTTTTATCTTTCTTAAGTATGCCCATTCCTTTTTAAACCTAATTTAGCTAGCAACCAATACTGAATGTTGTAATGAATTCCAAATGTCAACTGTAGGCATAGAATGAAGAGATCTTTTCCCTTCTGACTTGAACATGCTTGTAATCGATTTCATTGGGTGGACACAACATTCTAACCTTATAGCAATAGCAGTTAGACTTATGTACTGTCCCATAGTGCCTTGCAGCACTCTCTGGGCAATTTACAAAATCATCATATTGCCCCCAACAATCTGATGTTCACTTTACCAACCTCAGAAGGGTGCAAGGCTGAGTCAACCTTCATCCCGTCAGAATCAAACTCCAGACTGTGGGCTAACAATTGGCTTGCAATACTGCCTTCTAACCACTGCATCACCAAGACTCCTTATGAGAAGAAGAGGAGAGAACCTTGCCTTTGCCCTCCCCATAATTACATAACAGTGATTGCATCTAATCCACAATCTCTTTTATCCACAGCACTAACGAGGAGGTGGTTAAAATGATTCAGGAAGGTGACAGAACAAAGTTTGATGTTGAAGTGCTCAAGCAGCTTCTTAAACTCCTACCGGAAAAACATGAAGTAAGACAAACAACAACAAAAGTTTGTTATTTCGATTTTTCTTTGTATTGTATTTGCTGCATTTATACATCATGATTTAAAAATCAATATATATTGGTCTGTGTGTGAGGGGGGAGAGAGGGAGGGTGTTTTCTAGCCTCTTCATCAGTGTGGCTGAGAAAAGAAGTTCAGAAGCTGTCTCCTTAGATTTAAATTAATCAGAATTTAATATTACATCCAAACAAAAATATAGTCAATAAATTAATGATTTATTAGCTTCTTAACCCATCATGATGCTGAGGACCACAAGACTTTGTATATGTGGAAACAGCGATGTTACTGGAAGATGACATTTCTCTTTTCTTGCTAGATAGAAAATTTGAAAGCTTTCAAAGAAGAAAAGGAAAAATTATCAAATGCAGATCAGTTCTATCTTCTACTCCTTGGAGTTCCTAGGTAAGAGGAATGTTAATGAGAATACAGTAGTTGTTAAAGAAACATACATTTAATTAGTTAAATTAAATATACATATTTTAAACATTTCTAAAGCAGGAAACATCATTTGTTTTAAATGATTCCAGTGTTATAGTAGTCACAGAAGAGTTATAGATGGCACAAAGAAGAAATCTTTTTCTGATGGCAGTTATCTACAGTTTCAGAAGTACTAATATAGTATAAAGAGGTATACTTTAATNCAATAGAAGGATCTCTTGCTTCTATTTCTGTCATGCTTCTTTTTCCATTCCACTCCCGCTTGGAGTTTGCAAAAAGGCACCTGAAGGACTTTCAGACTGTGAGGAACAAACTCTTTCATGTGTTTTGCACTGAAGAAAGGATTCCATCTAGCCATTCTTCCATAAAGCCCATATCGATGGCTGCAGAGATGGTTGTCCTTCTGGAACTCCACCCAGGATCTCTGGAGCTTAGTCAGAGTGACCATCGGGTTCTTGATCACTCCTCTTACTAAGGCCCTTCTCCCCCTATTGCTCAGTTTGACAGGGCAATTAGCTCTTGGAAGTCCTGGTTGTGCCAAACGTCTTCCATTTCAGAATTATGGAGGCCACTGTGCTCTTAGGATCCTTCAGTGCAGCAGAAATTTTATTGTAGTCTTCCCCAGATCTGTGCCTTGCAATAATCCTCTCTCTGAGCTCTGCAGGCAGTTTGACCTCATGGCTTTTGCTCTACTACAGTATGCATTGTCAGCTGTGCTGCCTTCTATAGAGAGGTGTGTACCTTTCCAAATCAGGTCCAATCAGTTTAATTCAAGGTGTAGAAACATGTCAGCTATAATCAAGAGAAGTGGGAGGCACTAGAGCTAAATGTCACATGTTATTGCCAAACGTCTGAATACTTATGCCAATATGATATTTCAGTTTTTTCTTTTTAATAAATTTACAGACGTACCTAAAATTCTGTTTTTACTTTACTGTTTTTACAACTGTAGTATCAGACTGCAGCTTAATAAAATTGACAAAAGTGAAGGGGGTCTGAATACTTTCTGAATGCATTGTGCACAGGTTCATGGAAAAGACACACAACAGGTGGATATTTCTTTTAACAGTAAAATCTTCATTGCTATTAATTGTTTTTTTCATTGGGACACAGTGACCAGGTGTTTGTATTCTTACTAGGAACCAATTTCAAATCTCTTCATAATGATAGACAAACTATGCCAGCCTAATATAATTTATATGACTATAATAAGGCTAAAGAACAAGAAAATTCAGTTCATTTAGTACCTAGACTATTTTCACATGCGAGTTAAAACTAATGATTATTGAATTTTTGGGAAGAGTTGATCCATCTCCAATTTGACCTGCTTTGTTAGCTGCTTGCTTGCAGGAAGTTGTGTCAGAAGCTCTGCAACCATTTTCTTAAGATTTAATGAAGTGAATCTTTAGAAATCTTTCAAGCCAGTTTTTAAATCCCACTCTTTCAACACAGAGTTCGTTTTTCAATTGTTCTCATGGGAATAAATAAGTTATTATAAGAATTGCACGAAGAAATCAATGGACAGCCATGCTAGCACTTACTAGAGTGAAAAATTTTAATTGTACATTTAGATCACTGTTTCTCAACCTTAGTGGCATGAAGATGTGTAGACTTCAAGTCTCAAAATTCCCCAACCAGCACTCAACTTCTGGGAATTGAAGTCCAAACATCCTCAGGCGGTTAAGATTCAGAAGCATTGGTTTAGATATATGTTGTCATTACAGTATAGCAATGCATTAACAATTAAAATTTTTCAGCCTAAAAGTACTTCCTTTACTTAGAAAAGTTGAGTTAGAGACATTGGTGCATGCTTTTGGTTAGACATACTGAAAACATTTTCTTTACTCCCTAAATCTAGATAGGCCTTTTAGAAAGAGATTGGGTTTTTTTTGGCAACAGAGATAGATGTATTAGTGTCCTTCCATTTAAATATCAGACTCTGTTTTAGCTTCTCCAGTTCAGCCAGTATTGGATAGCTTCTACCATAAGGTGACCAGATTTACAGATTGGTAAAAAGGGACACCATTGACAGGACGGGACGTGGGGGGGGGGCTT